TTAAACCCGCCACCACCCGACACAGCCAATTTGTAAGGTTTGTCACGTAAGCAAAACGTGCCAATGCGCATTAATCCAGGGCAATGTGTTCATAGGAGCACTAAATGCTCGATTATAATACATTGATTATACTAGCAGGACTTAAGTGCGCAAAAGTGTGGCTTTTTAAAGGTTGCCAACTCGCCCACAACTGCCTTTTTCAAATATGATTCTACAGACATCCCACGATTGTATGCAGCTTAGACGCATTCGTGATTTAAAACAATTGCCTTTGCGGGAGGGTAAAATAATCAAGGGCATTTGCCTGCACAGCAAATAGCCCCGCTGCTTCTAATTCAATTACACCGTGCCAAGCATCACACGTCACGCTACAAACAGAGGATTTCCTGTTTAGCAACCAAGACACGAATTGTAAACGATTTTGAGCCGTTCCGCTTCCAGTGGCGTAGGGCTCTCTGCGTCGCCATTGGCTGCTGGGCGACGCAGAGAAGAAGGAGACCACTAATGTGGTGCCATGTGGCAGCCCTGACAAGCGAGAGAGAGAGAGCCAGAGACATCTATTTACATTTGAAGACAACAACAACAATAAACGCCAGTTGTCGTTTTTGCAATTGGACATTGCCCGCATTGCTCGTCTGCACTCAGTTGCGCTGCGTTTTGATTTTATTCATCTGTGTGGGTTGGGGGGGTGGGCGCACCAATGTAAATCCATCACTTCTTTTAACACGTACGCTTTCGCGACCAATATTATTCGTAACAAAGTCAGGGGTTTGTGGATCGCGCAAGCAAAGAAACACGACCGTGCTGCGAGTCCCTCAGCCTGTCTGCCGGGCTCAGGGAGCGTTCAGTCGGCGGATGACATCGCAGCGAGATGTGTTTGCTGAGCCGAGCGGGTGTGAGGTGAAGCAAGGTGAAGGCGCAGCACTGCAACTTCCCGCTGACGTCACTGCTGGCACGAGGGTCCTCGCTTGAGGGAGCTCCCCCAAGCGAGGACCCTTCGATTGGCACGGTTGGCTACGTACGGCGCGAAAAGAAGTTCAACATCCATGAATATCATCATGGGACCTCGCTCACCCCGAGCTCTCATTACTCTGCTAGTGCGTTGTCTTTGAAGTGTGCGCCTTTTGGCGTCATCTGGTCGAACACCATACGAGACTAGGCTCTAAAGAAAGCTGTCTCTGATGTGGACCAATCAGTTTCAAGGACAATGCATACATTATCAGAGTATTGTTTTTTTTACATTTGACTGCAAGTATTGTGGTTAACGTAAACATGATTCCTTGCCAAATGTGTCAGTTTTGTTGCCAGAAAAAAAGGGGAAAAACCCTATTAGTATAATCCATGCATACCTATGGAGCCGCCGAGAGGGCGTTTGGCCTAATGTTCTACACTGGCAAGGCATCTTGGAACTGGCCATTGTTTCAACTGCCACGTGAAGAGATCGAATCATACCGGTGACCTCTGGATTGCACCTCCAGTCTCGATAACCATTACATCACGGAAGCATCCATTTCCATGTTACGCCCCTTGCATATGCGAGTGTTTTATTATTATTCTTCCAAGCACTGTGGTTTCGTCCCACATACAACGCGCTCGTTTAAGGAATCGTCCATGCATCCCAGTTACAGAATCCTACTGAAAAGAGCCCCTGGGTTCAATGAGACAATTACAATCCCGCTCTTGCTCCTCGGCATTGTTGTTGGGAGAGTTTCGCTGGGGGCTTCCCACTTGATTTTAAACGTATATGAAGCAGAAATAATTTTCGTGAGTGTCCCAAAAGAAAATATAATGCCTTTCTACCTGGAATGCATCTGATCCCCTGGGAACTCGGAAGCTGAGCAAGTTTGAGCCTGGTCCGTATCTGGATGGGCAATCGCCATGTATAACACATTCCTGCGGAGGGAGCTGGTAGGAACGTTGGGTTGCTCGGTCAATGGCCAGGGTCAACGGCGGCGTGGTGTATTCCGCAAATATACCCGACTGTGAGGGCGGGCACAAGCCGGCGTGAGTAGGTTAAACGTCTAGTTTTATAAGGGCACCACGGGGTGACCAGCCTCTCCCCACCCAGCCCAACCCCTTCCACTCCCCACCCAGCCCCACCCTCCCCACTCTCCCCACCCAGCCCCTCCCCACCCTCCCCTCCCCACCCAGCCCCTCCCTCCCCACCCGGCCCCTCCCTGCACGACGGACACAATAATCCCCTGTGGGCTGGTGTACCCAGGAGGTTCCTACCAGTAAAACGGGTGTTGTAGGTGTTGTGAGCAGTTAGAGGATAGTGACGAAGCACCACCCAACATCCATGAGTTGTTCTTTGCTCTCCTCACCTTCACCAACCCACACTGGCCAACGTGGTGGAGTTTTTTTTTAAAGTAATCAATGGAATAAAAGTGGGCAGAATCCAAATTAAAAAATAAATATATTAATGGAAATGAGCCCCACTTTGGCATTTGGTGATGACACGGCAGTCACTTGGCGCACGGAGTGAGCTGGGGCAGCCTCATTGCACCCCCGAGTTCTCTACCCGGTGAAGCTCAAAGCAGCCCGAGCCAAATGTCGTCCCCACGTTGATGTTGCAATCAGTCGTAGGAAGTCTTCAGCTACCGGCGAGGAGCTTTGAACATTCAGGATTTAATCCGGACATTGTCCACGTATAAATAAATATTTTTAGTAAACGTGAGAATCTTGTCGGGTTAATGACAATAATTTTACCAAATAATTACGTGCTGCCACGTGGCCTAACTCAAACACAACAATGGATCGTGGTGAAGTATGGACAGATCACCGTCACGGACTGCTCGGTTGTGGGGAGGATCATCCAGCAGTGGACGGACAAAAACAAGCTGGACACGTACTGCACAAGTTACATCCGGAGGGGATTATAGAAAGGCAGTGCTATATTTAGAAGTGACGATAACAGGTAAATCTAGTCTAGACAGATGCACAATACCCTCTGATCCATGGGGATATTTTTTTTTATCAAATAAAATATTGTTTCAAAAAGTTGTACGTGTGCGCAGATCAGGAAAACTTTGTTTAATTAAATGAAATTCAAGCTATGAGAATCACCTTATCAGGGATGCTGGCAGAATGTCTGCAAGGCCCGCCAATATATTTGGCTGTGATCAATGTTTGGTTTATTTCAGTAAAGCTTTGCAGCACACTGAGCCAGAAAAGCAAAGCACAAGATGCACTAGATTCTTTAATATTACTAATGGGAGGTGGACCCCTAGTTCACATGGCAGCGTAATGTGCCAGCAACTGCTGAAACCCTTGGTTAGAATCGGGGCAGTCACCAACCATGATTAAACCAAGCGTGGTAAGTCTCAAGTCCCGTCACTAGTTTATTGTTTCAAGTAATTTGGCAAAATTTCAGCCCTTGGAATTAAAAAAAATATAAGTTTGTCTCTCAGGCGACAATCATCACTTTGATGTATTATGGAAATTGTGCACAATAAGTGATGGGTCCTTGCAACCCCCTCAGCTCACAAGAGTCTGCTAAATTCACAACAATAGCAACGGTATTGAGATTATTGGCTTGAATCGTGAAACGTATCAAATTGCCGGGGATGGAAGGGGTGGGGGGGGGGGCAGGGTTGGATTTAGGTTTGTGGGGGGGGGGGGGGGCTTGGCGTTGGTTTTGGTTTTGGGGGGCCCTCAGTCTTTTCAGCTAAATTACTCTTTCACCACGACACATCCCGATACCAAACACTCGATTGTGATATTCACCTGGGTCATTTCAGTTCCTGCTTTAAAGCTTTAAATGCGTTATACAAATCGTAACGCTAAATCAAAGTAAAAATAAACAAAAGTATTTAATGTTGGTACATGGTAATACACACAGTGATGCATTGGCTTTAATTAACAAATGACCCATAGGACGTATCATAATGCTAAGTATTGCTTGTCACCTATTATAAAGCGGTATACTGTATACAAGGTGGCCGAAAAGTCAGGACACAAATGGTTGTTAATTAATGTGTGTTAACACTGGCATTAGAACATTTTAATTAGTATGCTTTATGTTAATATTTGTGTCTATTATAATTACTAATATCTATTTTCTTTTTCCTGTGGGGTCAACCAAAAACGTGTAATTTGCTAAACTCGACCAAGACCCCTGAATGAATTGAAACAAAACATAATTGATGAATGTTCACAAATTGCACTTGTAATATTAAAAAAGTCTTAAATTAAGTTGAAAAGATAATACATTCGTGCATTAATGTTAACGGAAGCCGGTTTTAATATTTATTAAAATATATGAAATAACCCTACGTGATTTCAACTTGATTTGGAGCTTTCGTGACTACAGGAATTACTCTTTGGTTCTTTCGGTAAAGTCACGTAGAAAGAAAAAATAATTAAATAATAGCACACGACGTTTCGATTGCAACACAAGCAAACATCATCAGGTACGTACCTCTTCTTGGTTCATTCGATAAAGTCACGTAGAAGGGAAATAATAAAATAATAAAAATAAAACATAATAAAATATAATTCTCACGACGTTACGGCCACAACACAAGCAGACCTGTTCTTCACCTGAGGACGGCTGCTTGCGTTGTGGCCGAAACGTCGTGAGAATTGTATTTTATTATGTTTTATTTTTATTATTTTATTATTTCCCTTCTACGTGACTTTACCGAAAGAACCAAGAAGATGAATCCCTGCAGTCACGAAAGCTTTAAATCAAAATTTAGATACGTACCTGATAATGATTGCTTGTGTTGCAATCGAAACGTCCTACGTGATTTGTTAAAATAAATATAATAACCCGGTGTCCTGACTTTTGCTCGACCCGGTGCATTGCCCCCCCCCCCTCTCTTCAAAATCCAGAGTCTCGGACTACAGCCACTAAAGCCCCCGCATGAATCCGGCCCTGCAGGTGCGCGAGGACGAATAGGGGGCATTGTGTTCTATTGCAGTACGCTACTGCGGTCGTGTAACTCGCAGTGTTGATACATCTTCATTTTGATCATGCGTCAATGTATCGTTCCCAGGTTCCTGGGGTGAGAAAGTGATTCCAGACCCTTTCATGGAAGACTGCAGTTGATGGAGAGAACTTTGCCCCTCTCCACGAAGTGTCAAGCTCAAGAGGAAACGCTGCGGTTAAATTATTTGGCCGATCTCGTTTGGGCTCATACCTGCTTTGACAGGGCCTGCGCTGGAGCGCGATGTGCAAGCCTCAGCTCATGACTGTTACCGTAAGTGTAACATTCAATCTGTGTTGGAGGCGGCGGCGGCGGCTGGTGGTGGTGGTGGCACACGCCCGTATGGTGGCGATTTGGAGGTGGGTTTTAGTGGATCAGCCAGAGCTGGTGAAGATCGCTGTGCCACGCTGTGAGATTCCCAACCAAATAGGGATGACGAGGTGGCCGACAGATGGCAGCACGGGAAGACGATTGCTGGCTTGTTTGCGAACGAGAGAGTGTTGACACACACTCGTAATTAAGCAGTATACTTTGAGTAGCCACGTTCACCAATACTCAATACTGTACATTAAATAAAACATTGCTCAAACATTCCAATGCAAAACCACCTACCTGTCCCATTTAGAAACAACGTGCGTTTAGAGTATTTGGCTGCTATACATTTGCACGTGATGATCCACTGCATCAGGCTATCGTCTGTGGCCAGGTCGCTTCTAAATAAAACAGCTATTAGGCTGTGGGCCTTACCTGATTTAAAAAAATGGTTTAGTTTTAGTTTTTTAGTTCCCCCCTCCCCTCCCGAGTCTTAAGACTCCGTAAGACTTTCCTGGATAAAGTAATAATAATAATGCATTATAGATCCTTCATTAACCTATGAATTCATCTGGAATCAGACGTGCTTATCCTGCTGCTTCCCCCAGGTAAATATCCCATCAGCAGGTGTCTGTCCATTAGTACGGTGAAGCTTCTGCTCCTACTATCTGTGACTCCTGTTGTTCGGAAGTCCTCATATAATCCGTGAAAACGCCTCAAATCACGGAAAAATAGATTCTAATATCCGTTGTTGTTTTTGTTACGTGAATAAGAAACACTTTACCCTGAAGTTCTGGTCGAAGCAAAAGTTAATCTTGGTAGTGTTATTGGGGATTATTGGCCTTCTGAATGTGGTCACCAGAGGTGTGGACTCGAGTCATGTGACTTGGACTCGAGTCAGACTCGAGTCATGAATTTGATGACTTCAGACTCGACTTGGACTTGCATAACAATGACTTTGTCCCACCTCTGAGGTGTGGACTCGAGTCATGTGACTTGGACTCGAGTCAGACTCGAGTCATGAATTTGATGACTTCAGACTCGACTTGGACTTGCATAACAATGACTTTGTCCCACCTCTGAGGTGTGGACTCGAGTCATGTGACTTGGACTCGAGTCAGACTCGAGTCATGAATTTGATGACTTCAGACTCGACTTGGACTTGCATAACAATGACTTTGTCCCACCTCTGGTGGTCACCATATCTAAAATCAATCCTTCTATTAATCGTTTTTTTTCTTGGATAGGCGTCATGGTGCCGAACACGTATCTACTTATCTGCAGATACGTTTGTGAAAGAGGAGTTATGGGCCTTACCTGCTAAAGTAAATAGAAAAGTGTTGAGTTTTTCGTTTAGGTGAATACTTATCCGGATAAGAGGATTTCCACTGCACCGAGGGACAGAGTGCTGTCTGCCATGTGATATATGTACAGTATAACCAAAGCCCCATGTTGCTTTATTGGAGGCGACTCAAGATTGTCTCTACTCCTGTAAATACAAATAATTAAACGTTTGCCAGCTACTCATTCATGCGCAATTGTAGGCGACATACATAAAAACAAATAATAAACATTTTCGCGTGCACATAGTTGTGAAGCACTTACAATGGAGGATGATCAAATCAAACGTTTGAAAGCTTTTGAGAAACTGAAGTTGCTATTAATTTGGTTTATTAGTTTAGCAGATGCCGTTAGGTCTACGGCATTTATTCATCACGCGCAGTCTACGTTTAAATGAGCAATGGCCAAATGTGCAATTTTGTTGAGTGTACGTAATGGGTTGCACTTTTGTCTGCTGATGGATCTTGCTTCGGGAAATGCATCCGAGCGTGTCCTACAGCGCTAACACTCCCATTTGTTTCAGAGTCAAGGTGAAGCACTGTGTGAAGAATCTATCTCCTATGCTATGTTGTATCGTCAGTCCGGCGCCCACCAGTTTTCAGACAAGATTTTGTTTTCAATTCCAAACTCTAAACATACATACCAGGAATGAGTTTCTAATTTAACATTTTTATTCGTTTACCAGATGACTTCTGCCCAATTGCATATTCTTTTTTGGACTATTGGAGTAATTAAATTGATTACTTTATAGTCTTAACCACCATGTACCTAATCCAATAAAAGTACAATCACTTAAAATATATTAATTTAGCATAAGAAACATATCTTTTTTTATCTTTTAAGACTATTTATTACCATGACCCTTAAATATGGTTCACAATGCTTAAATGTATTCGTTGCAATCATTAAACATTCCTTAATTATCATTTTCATTTCAAATCCGTTTCATTGCCTTCAAACAAAACACGTTCCATCTCACCATCGTTAGAATGAGGGACACTTTTAATCCGGGAGTGTCTACATCTCGGACCTCTTTCTCGCGGGGTCCTCCTGCGTTTGGCATGTTTTTCAAAGTCCTCGTTTGAGTTGTTTTGCTCTGGACAACTGGGAGATATACTCTTAATTTTTTCGGTAAAGTCACGTAGGTAAAAAATTAATTAAAATTAATAAAAAAAAATAACGACGTTTCGGAGGCAACACAAGTCTCTGTCATCAGGTAGGACCGTCACAGCCAGATTTGCTGTATCACTTGATACACAGCCAGATTTGCTGTATCAGCCAGATTTGCTGTATCACTTGATACACAGCCAGATTTGTGTTATCAGCCAGATTTGCTGTATCACTTGATACACAGCCAGATTTGCTGTATCAGCCAGATTTGCTGTATCACTTGATACACAGCCAGATTTGCTGTATCAGCCAGATTTGCTGTATCACTTGATACACAGCCAGATTTGCTGTATCAGCCAGATTTGCTGTATCACTTGATACACAGCCAGATTTGCTGTATCAGCCAGATTTGCTGTATCACTTGATACACAGCCAGATTTGCTGTATCAGCCAGATTTGCTGTATCACTTGATACACAGCCAGATTTGCTGTATCAGCCAGATTTTCTGTATCACTTGATACACAGCCAGATTTGCTGTATCAGCCAGATTTGCTGTATCACTTGATACACAGCCAGATTTGCTGTATCAGCCAGATTTGCTGTATCACTTGATACACAGCCAGATTTGCTGTATCAGCCAGATTTGCTGTATCACTTGATACACAGCCAGATTTGCTGTATCAGCCAGATTTGCTGTATCACTTGATACACAGCCAGATTTGCTGTATCAGCCAGATTTGCTGTATCACTTGATACACAGCCAGATTTGCTGTATCAGCCAGATTTGCTGTATCAAGTGGGAGATCGTCAATCGATGTTCGCCGGTCGCTGGGCTGACGATGCCATGGAGTCGTGGACTTCCCACTTGACAGGGTGGTCCCACGTGAAGGCTACCATCTTCCGCTCCACTTCCTTATTGTAATAAGGGGGAACATTATTTTCGTGTAGGTGGGAGACCTATGCATCAGCTGTCAACCCCTTATCAGTGCCCTACTTTATCACAGACCAATTCAGACCTTATTGGTCACCCCGTGCCCCTTATAAACCTCAAAGTTCATCCTACAAAGTCCCATCGCAAGGGAGAAACACAAACAGATCGACAAAACAAAATTGCCCGTATTCAAACGGCTGTGGACCTGAAAATTCAACTTCCCTGTACAAGAACGCGGGGTAAACCGTATGGGTTGACAGGTATGCCGATGTACCAGGCGAAAATCCTACCTATGCATGGGAGGGAGATAACTCAAAGTGCATACAGAAATTCTAATTAATAAAAGTAAACATAAAAATAAAATAAAAATCACGACGTTTCGGAGGCAACACAAGCTTCCGTCTTCAGGTGGAACAGTCACAGCACGATAGCTGTATCAAGTGAGAAAAATTCCAAGAAACCCGTATTTGTATATATACTGGTTGAGGGTGGGAGGAGCCAAGGTAGGCCCTGAATATTATTTTTGTGAGGTTCGGTGCGGCTTTTTTTTTACCTACGTGACTTTACCGAAAAAACCTAAGCATATGAATCCTTGCAGTCACGAAAGCTTCAAATCTAGAATGCATACGGAAGGCGGGTTCACATATCAGCTGCTTTTGTTGTACTGCCATCTGCTGGCCACAGACTCGAAGTGCAGCTGTTTAGAATGTTCCACAAATCCCTATCGCAGATGTGCGGCTCTGAAAGTGCCTTGCGACGTTTAAGGCTCCGCCAGAGATGAGACAAAGATCCCCCGTATAGCCTTAACTGACTGTAGGGGCAAGTGCTGTTAGCGAGCACCTATGAAGGCCGCCACGGCACAGGAGAGGCTGGGTGGCCAACACCACGCCCGGCCGCCTTTGTCTCCCCAGTGGCGAAGTTTTTACATATCGCACCAGGTACTCATTTGAGGCCTAGTCGACCTAGGGGAGGCCCAGGACCGATTCAGATAAAACTCTAGCACATATATTCACACGCATTCACACACAAACAACAACAACCACAGCCGCCATTCGCCACTAAGCGGCTGTGGAGTCACCACGGCGCTTGTGCCAGGCTAGGTGCACACACATTGACACTGTCACACACTGACACTCTCTCACACACTGACACACTCTCACACACTGACACTCACACACTGACACACTCACACACTGACACCCTCACACACACTGACACTCACACACACTCTCACACACACTGACACTCACACACACTCTCACACACACTGACACTCACACACACTCTCACACACACTGACACTCTCTCACACAATGACACTCACACACTCTCACACACACTGACACTCACACACACTGACACTCTCTCACACACACTGACACTCTCTCACACACTGACACCCTCACACTCACACACTCTCTCACACACTGACACTCTCCCACACACTGACACCCTCACACACACTGACACTCACACACTGACACCCTCACACACTGACACCCTCTCACACACTGACACACACACACACTCTCACACACACTGACACTCAGACACACTCTCACACACATTGACACTCTCTCATACACTGACACTCTCAACACCACACTGACACCCTCACACACACTGACACTCTCAGTTAGCTCACAACATCTCTAGCTCATGCAGTGACTACTTTGGCTTCCTATATTCAGCCAAACAGAAGCTGCTTGGGCATACGGTGACTGGACTTGTAGGCCCATGAGGATTCTAGGATGGGATGTGCGTTATAAATTTGAATTATTATCATGACCCATCCAATGGATCCTCGCCTGCTGGAGTAGCCTGCTGATGCTCCAATGTCGAGATCATTTCAAGGATTTGTGAGGTTCTCACATAATCCACTATGAATATTCCCAGAAAGGAGCGTAGGCAGGCCAGCCTGTATATATCAAGTCAACGCAAGCGTCCTGGTAAAGGGGTCCATATTTGGGAAGTAGAGAGAAGAGAGGATAGTTTTGTGGCTGAGAAGCCGCTGTTCTGAGTTACAGGCCAGGCAACTGCCACACAATGTTACATTGTTACGTAGCCGATGCAAGATATTGTCACTAGACTGATTGGAAGAGGCCTCCACTGCAAAACCACAGCTCTTCAAGTGCACCCTGCTCAGGCACAGATACTCAAAAGACAAATACAAAGATTCCCCCCTCCCCCCCATGTATAGCCTTAACAGACTGATGGGGCAAGTGCTGTTTGTGTTGCACAGGAACTCCTCCACCCTCTTCACAAGCACCCCATTACTCGTAGATAGTTAAGAGTAATTGAATACACAAGTATCCAGGCAGATATTTTGTTTTGGTGGGGCTGATAGGCTCCACTTATTTGCTCTAGATTTGAAGCTTTCGTGACTGCAAGGATTCATACTCTTAGTTTTTTCGGTAAAGTCACGTAGGTAAAAATAAATAATAACAAAAATATATATATAAATAATAATATAAATAAATGCCTTCGAAACGTCGTGATTTATTATTTTATTTCTATTAATATTTCTATTATTTTTTATTGTTATTATTTATTTTTACCTACGTGACTTTACCGAAAAAACCTAAGAGTATGTCCACTTATTTTTGTCTAGTTCCAGGTTGAGCAGCAGTCTCTCTTTCTCAAAGTAAGCGACAATTACCCACCCCTCGGCTTACATGGCATAGCTGATGAGTAGGGAGCCACGCCAATCCTTCTATCTGTATAAGATGGAATTCATGCTGGTACAACCAATGGAATACTTTTATATGTGACCAGAACATACGTGAAATATTGTCGGGGCTAGAAAACATCTCTGCCGTAATCCCAAATCAAGCAAACAACAAGTATAACTCGTAAAAACAAAGTTTTTCACTAGAAATCCTTTATATGCGTGGCGGCTAGAGTCCTCTCGTCCTCTGGCTTGAGATGGCTGCCACCTATGGGTCAGATGATTGTCTGCCACCATTAAGCAATTGGTAATTAAATATTTTTAAAAATTTCCCTAAACAGTGTAAAATTTTGGAAATTCTTTTTTCACGAAAATGCATTGTCACGCACAACGAGTCTGTGTGCAAAATGTCAGCTCGATTGGATCACGGGAAGTGGGTTAAAAAACGACCGAAAGATTTGCACGGTCCTAAGCAAGCAAGCGAACTTAATATAAAGGATTTAAAAAATGGCTCCGACTGCTGGCTACTCGGCTTTACCCGTGCCTGCCTACCATTACGAAGATCCCTAATGATCATGAAGATCCCTAATGATCATGAAGATCCCTAATGATCATGAAGATCCCTAATGATCATGAAGATCCCTAATGCTCATGAGCAAAGGGTCAGGGACCTGGAACAGATTCGACCAAACTCATGGTATCTTAATGGGGCGCCACGGTGACGAGATGTTAACTACCTCGCCTGGTTTGCGCCTGCTGTATATTTGGAGTTTGCATGTTTTCCCTGTGATCACATGGAATTTTCTCCAGGTCCTCAGGATTTTTTTCCCCTCCACATTTAGAAACATGCGTTTAGAGTATTTGGCTGATATAAATTTCCACGTAAGCTACTTCGTTCAGCGATCATTAGTGGCCAGGTCGCTTCTGGAAAAGGCCTACATAGGTAAGTGGGCCTTACATGGTAAATTTTAAATAGTTTAGTTTAGTATCACAGGCATTGGCCAGGTCAATAAAGCACAGTTGTAGTTTATGTTGAAATTCGCCACACATGTGCTATTGCAGACAAATAATATGTATATCAAACTTGTATAATGCGACGCACATATATGCTCATCCACACACTTATTCTCTCTCTCTCTCTCACAGTCTTCCATGTTTTTTTCAAAGGTAACATCACAATGGAATCACTTCACGTTTAGCACGTGGAAGAAACCTAAAAAAAAAAGACTTTTTGATTATCCAAACTTTCAGTTCCCACAAAGCTGACTGTTGGATTTGTAATAATTAAAATCGGGAACGTATCCCTGAAACGTCGCATTCAGTTGACGACATTGAGAGTAAGGGGCAATGCAATTGGGAGGGCACTGCCCCTCCTCCCTACAAGCCCCTCCCCCACAAGCCCCTCCCCCCACAAGCCCCTCCACCTCACAAGCCCCTCCCCCCCACAAGCCCCTCCCCCCACAAGCCCCTCCCCCCACAAGCCCCTCCCCCTCACAAGCCCCTCCCCTCACAAGCCCCTCCCCCTCACAAGCCCCTCCCCCCACAAGCCCCTCCCCTCACAAGCCCCTCCCCCCACAAGCCCCTCCCCCCACAAGCCCCTCCCCCTCACAAGCCCCTCCCCCCACAAGCCCCTCCCCCCACAAGCCCCTCCCCCCACAAGCTCCTCCCCCCACAAGCCCCTCCCCCTCACAAGCCCCTCCCCCCACACCCCTCCCCCCACAAGCCCCTCCCCCCACAAGCCCCTCCCCCCACAAGCCCCTCCCCCACTGCACAACATGACAGACAGAAGACAAACGCACTTCAGCCCCTCCCTTACAAACCGGTGTATATTAACAACAGGGTCGGTGGAAAAGGGGTGTATTGACTTCATTTCAACAGTTAAAACTCCGTTTCATTTTTTTTTCCCTAAGGATATGGATTCGCATTTACGTGGCACTGAAATCCCTCAGCATCTCAACCATTCCAATGCCTCTGGTTGAAATCGAGCCTAGGGGACCCACCAGTGGCAGCTGTCCCTGTACAGCACGAGGTGAACGCAGCACTGACTCGCGAATGTGAATTAGTCTGCTGTTCCGACGGTTTGTCCAATTAAAAAGTTTCCGAATAATGTATCAACATGTATGGCCACCAGCTTCCTCGTGGTAAAATAAAAACATTCCTATATTACTGTTGGTAAAAACAAAAGGTCATTGCAATCTAGATGATGTTCAAAAGCAATGACGCTCAGGCAAGAGACGATGTAGCCAATGGGATGGGATACCAGGGAGCAGAGGTCGCAAACGGGTTTTGTTTCCTTACCCGTACCCGGCCGCACCAGGGTCGCAAATGGGTACGGGTACCCGTTCCCTACCCGTACCCTACCCGAAATGAGTGACAAACGGTTACTCACCAGTGACTCACGGTCTACCCGTACCTGTAACCGGCCGCACCAGGGTCGCAAACGGGTACCCGTACCGGGTATCGGGTAGGATACGGGTATCGGGTACCCGATTGCGACCTCTGCCAGGGGGTTAGCATGCAACCGTTACTCCTCTAAAACAATTCTACGATTTGTTGAAATTCTGGGGTCAAGAATTAAGTTTCCTCTTCCGGTCTCCTTTTCCACCATCTGATTTCTATCGCTTCACAGTTTCCTTTGCTCCGCAAGCCCTACATGTTAACGGCATTTAATTTGAATATCAATTGGGTCAATTGTCAGACAGCAAATGCTTACACGCACACTTCGATGCATGTACATCATGAGTGTTAAAGGTGTAATTTCGATTTAAAGCTTTCGTGACTGCAGGGATTCATCTTCTTGGTTCTTTCGGTAAAGTCACGTAGAAGGGAAATAATACAATAATAAAAATAAAACAATAAAATATTTTAAAATAAAACATAATAAAATATTTTAAAATAAAACAATACGATGTTTTATTATGTTTATATTTTAAAATATCTATGTGACTTTACCGAAAGAACCAAAAAGATATTCTTGGTTATTTCGGTAAAGTCACGTAGAATGGAAATAATAAAATAATAAAAATAAAACATAATAAAATAATTAGTTAAAATATTACATAATAAAATAATAAAATAATAATTGAACTTTTTTGTTGTACTTTTATTATTTTATTATTTCCATTCTACGTGACTTTACCGAAAGAACCAAGAAGTTGAATCCCTGCAGTCACGAAAGCTTTAAACCGAAACCAAAAAGATGTGAAAGGTGTCTATCATCGACGAATCGACGATGCATCGTTCGGTGCCGACTCAAGTGTCTCCGTTGACGTGCCAAGGACACAGCTCTGGAACACGGTCAGGGTACAACATTTAGATTCAATAGATTTTTCTTTACAACTAAAAACTACTTTGGGGCCGTTCATAAATGACGTCACGCACCTGGGGAGGGGGTTCAGACATTTGTGACGATGTGTGACGAGGGGGGGGGGATTCATAAATGTGACGTCACATCAAAATGCGCAACTTTAAATAAATATAGACAACACGTTCTACTTAGTTAAATATACTTTTTAATAAATGTTTTCTCCTACAACATCAGTGTGCAGCGGCACATTAAATACGCACTACAATGACAATAGTTTGAAGCGATTTGAAGCATGTTTTTTTTGGGGGGGAGGGGGGGGGGCAGAGCTTTGTGACGTCATATTTGAGGTGGGGGTCTAGACTTTTTGTGACGCCGTGTGACGATGGGGGGGTGGGGGGTCAAAAATGGTCCAAAATCGCGTGACGTCATTTATGGACGGCCCCTTCATATATGTTTAACGCTCATTTAAAATTCATGAACCAGAATTTCAAAGTAACAATGGTAGTATTTGACTTAACAAAAGCACATTGCAACCGGAAGTAAAGAATTAAAACCCCAGTGCTTCGCATACCAACGCGAGGACACCTCGTGTCTCATTGGATGCTGCGTCTCCTTGCCGTCCAGCGATTAGTCCGTGAAATATGGAGGCCCTGAATTACGATAAATTAAAGTTATCCTGGGCATGTGCCTGCCCATATACGGAGTTATGGGATCGAGCACCGGGCCCAGGTGTTGTGGCTTTGAGGGTGGGATTGAGCATGGAGGTGTTGCGGTTGTTTGTAACTGATGCGATGATTGAACATGTCGAGGTTTTAAAATCGATGGTCGCCATTGGTTGGATGTCGTGTGGCGTTGCTTGCCACTGGTTAAATTTCGCATGATGCCTCCATATTTCACGGACTCATTCTATCGGAACCACAGATCCACCAATGCGTAAATGCTTACCATATTTAACATTATTGTTATGCATATTGAACTTTATCAGCATTGTTGTAACCCCCAACATCATCATCATAGTGTACAATTCCTAATTCTCAATACATCATATCCCAATTTTTGTTCAAGATGTATGTCATGAATCAGTACTGTACAATAAATATAATTGCATTGAGTTCATACTCACTGAAATAAGAGACTGTAAAATAGATACATTCAAGAGTTTCGTTAAGAAAGTAGATGTTGGAACGTTAAAGCAATAATTGTATTCAATTTAAGACAAAGTCAAGCAAATTTAATGTCGAAGCCAATTTGCTTCGCACATCAATGCATTTACTCTTTTAATATTATAACTGCGGTAATTTAATACTGTAACCAGGTGATGATGATTTGGGGGTTGCCCTATGATTGGAGAGCTCAGCTCAAAATTGGAAGGTTGCGAGTTTAAATCCTGGTCATGGGTCCAGTCAACAAATCATCCCTCTGGGATGATCAGAATCACTTTATGGGATGCCACCGTGTCTCGCCATTGGAGAGGAATTTCCCTCGCCAAGGGAATGTGGAATTTCC